TTGGTGTTTTTTTTTTTTTTTTTTTTTGCAGAGACTTCTAGCCTCAGCATGTTTTCCAAATTTTGGGGCCCCGAGCACATCGTATTCCAAATAATCATTCTCCAATGATCCTTCTTGAAGACTGTCAGAAATTTAAGTGGCACTGCCATATTGGCTTTAACCTTTTGTTGTCTACAGTCACTGGGAATATTCATTTGGACAAGTTTACCCTCAACCCCTTTGACTTCTTAAAACATAATAGTTATGTTCAACTTCAGCAGGGTTGATGGTACGATGTGATCTAATAAGATTAAGAATAAAATTTAAGCTAGATGTAACTAAGGATATTATATAATATTCAAGCAAGCTCACCCATAATGCCAGTATTCAACTCAAAAGCAGGAAGAAATATGCTGCCCCATTCCTAACTCCCTTTACAGGGGCACAAAGTACTTTATGCTTCTTTATACTCTTGCACAGATGTGTATGTCAGGATAGACTCTAGCCTCCAGTTTTCCCACATATCCTTCCAGTATTCAACATCTTATAAAATTCTCTCTTTATCTTCACAATTTCTCTTTCAACTGTACATAATAATGCTGTTCCGTTTCTATTCTTGTAAGCTATAAAGCTGTGTTTTACATGGATTTTTAATAGGACTGGGGTGTAGAAACCACAACTGGCATATCCACATAGCAAGAAAACACTTTGGGAGCATTTAACTGGTTTGTTAAACTGGGTTTACAGCTGACTTGCATTGCCAGAAAGGGAGAAAGCAGCCAGATCATTCTGAGGTACATAGCTTTATACCTATTAACACTCCTTGAAAAGAGATTCAGTCCTCTAAAAAGATTAGGGAGCAATTTTAATGCTATCTAAGCACTCGATGTAATCATTATTAGGGAAAGTGTAGCTAGTTGAAAAAAAGCTGTTGCACGAAGCAAAGGCAGTGCACACAGCAATCAGTGTTAATGACAGAACTATGTAATTAAGTGACCCTATTTCATTTTCTAACATTAAGTCCCACTGTGAGGATAATAGTGTTCACAAAAGCAATGCTGCTAAAGGTATTTTGTCTGGCTTTTATTATTTGCAAAAATTACAGGTTGAATTACTTCTAAATTGTATGCCAGGTACAGTGTAATTACACTCCACACTCGATGTAAAACTGGTTTTCGTTTATAACATTCTGATAGCTGCTTCTATAAATAAGTTTACTAAGAAAACATTTTGAACTCTAAACTGTGGGTCTTGTAGAAAGGGGCCTGCCTATATCAGTATGTCTATACTAAAGCAAATCACGGGGTAGTGTAAAGGTTATCCAAGATAACTTTAAACAAACTGTAGCTACAGCAGCATGAAGCTAAGGGTGGGTTAATTTACCCTGCTCTTTCAAGTGTATTCTCAGTCAATGCTGAGCTCCTGACTGCTGCAGCCTGGCTGCTACTGGTATTCAAGCTGGTTAGTTTTAAAGCTCTACACTAGTCACACCTGTATCTTCACCAACAGTGGCAATACTGTAATGCTATCAGGACTGCCAGCTCTCCCTCAGTATCTGCTCAAACAAATTACCAAAGCAGGCTTGTCTATACAAAGGCCAGCTTTTCTAACACAGGGGATCTGATTTTTCTGCTTGGAGAAATACTATAATTAAATATACAACTGGTTGATGCCCTGAAGCATGAATTATTTGTACTGTGGCAATGCCTAGAAGCCCTGGTCATGGCCAGGACCCCAGCAGAATGCATCTGTGGCAAAGGCTTCTTGTAACACATACCATTTTCGGAACGGATCTGGCAATACAGTGAACATTTAGGGTTTTCCATTTCAAGACACTACCAGCATTTCTGTTGACATTTTGCATTTGTGGAAAATGGAATCACAACTCCAAAATAACTCAAAGGTTGGGTGGAGTAGAATCCCTCATTCTGAAAATTCCTGACAGGATTAGTACGATTTGTTACAATGATACCACTGTTAAGTAGTATGGAATGATTCAGTGAAGGGCATTTGAAAGGGGCAGAGAGGAACCATCTCCTGCTGATTTCTCCCAGTGGAATCCCAATGCAAATGTGTCAAGGTGTCCACCTACCAGAACTGTTCATTCTGCAGTCCTAGCAAGAGAAAGCTAATTCAAAAGCACCAGCAAAGCAGAGAAAGGAAGCTGTCACACTCATTTATATATGTAAGTGATCTGCAGAATTATCAGTTAAATTATTTAAATGTCCCATTACTATTAAATTACTGGGCATTCATTGTAAGAACAGTCATAATACAGTAACTAATTTGGTATTAATGTGAATGTCAGTTTCATTGCAGTTAT